TCGCGCCTCTAGCCGCCTGCGCTCAGCTGCAGCTGCCCGACGGGCCTGGGGGCGCCGGGCAGGAGGAGTTGGAGGAGGACGATGCCTTTACCAGCGTACAGGTGCCGGCGGCTGCCTTCTTGGGCTCTGGGACCCCCGGGAGTGGGAGCGGCAGTCGAGGCCGCCTCAACTCGTTCACTCAGGGAATCCTGCCCATCGCCTTCTCCAGGCAGACCTCGCAGAACTACTGCTCCCTGGAACAAGCGGGCCAGGGGGGCAGCACCAGCGCCTTCGAGCAGCTGCAGAGGTCCCGGTGAGTATCCAGGACGACTCGCGTGCCTTACTTACCTCACGTCTCTCCGGGCTGGCTCACTGCTGCCGGACGCGGGTCGCTCCTACCTTCCCGCGCGCTGCCGAATCTCTGGGCTTCTGGCGCGAATTCCAAACCACGAGGGCACGCGGAAGAGGGAAGGCCCCTAAGGAGCGCGCGCGCGCTTGTGTGTGTGTGTGTGTGTATGTGTGTGCACGAATCTGGTACTCAGAGCCGAAGCACCGTCCTCCTGCAGTGGTTTCGGAGTTAGGGGTTGCGGCAGCCCATTGAAAAGCGGCACCAAAACCTCCCATTGCAAGGAGGTGATCACGAACTTCCAGAACCCTGGCCCGAACGCGGAGACGCGCTCTCCCCGCGCCAGGCAAGACTAGGCGGGGCGCAGTCGAGCAGTGGGTCCAGCCGGCGGCTGAGCGGCGCGTGTGAGCCTGAACTTGTCGCAGATACGCCGTGAATCCCTTCTGAGACGTTCTGCCTGCGCTCAAAGTATTCCTGTGTCCCAGGAAAAAGGCGTTTTCCTTTGCTCTCCTAAGAAAAGTCCTTATATTCCTTTGAACCAGGCCTTGGGGGTGGGGGACAGGGAGGAAATAGGGCTTGAGGATTTTTTCTTCCATTCCAAGGTGAATTTGCTGAATAAGTGAAAAGGTTGTTGTGTTTGCTCACTTAAGTCACCTGCAGGTATCAGGCATCTTAGCAAAAACATGAAATTTTGGACATTTGCTTATTGTTCAGGAAATAGCTAGAGCTTGTCACCGTGTGTTCCAGGGACTTTGGGGACTTAGGTCAGCGTCAGGCAGCAGGACTGAAGGCTGGAAAAGAACAGGGGTGGGAAGCAGGGAAGCTCCCTGGGAGGGAGCATCCTCCCTTGCTAGGAAGGCCTCCTGTGAAGTTAGTTACAGTCTAGGCTCCTCATGGCTCAGTTATTTTTTAACCTCCTGGGGCCTCAGTTTCCCCTTGTGGGACAGGACCTTGTCAGCACGTTGCAGGCCTCAAGATGAGATGGCAGAACCTTTTCAGTTACACCCTCTTTCCTGTAGTGCTCTTCTGAACTTGGGCTTCTTCTGGCCTAAGTAAGAAGGTGGCCTGTTGGAAAACTTCACTTCCTCCCCCAATGGACAGACGGGGAAGAACAAGCTGGGCTCCTCCAGAATTTTGCTCTAAGTCTCTTTCTTCCCAAGTGGTGAAATCATGGCCCTGCTCAGTATGTGGCATCCCAGTGTGAGTACACATGGGCTGCAGGCAGGGGTGTGGAGCCTCAGACAGCCTTGTGACTGCACAGATGATTAGCAACACTGGGCACAGGTGACAGACTGCGCCTGGCATTTCTTGTCAGAGCACGCATCTCTCCATTAGTGGGCCAGTGCACAGGAGGGGAGGGGAATCCCTTCCTTTCTGGGCGAGTGGTGTGGACTCAGCAGTTTCAGGACAGCTTGACATCACACACTGGCTCATAATCACTCTATAGTTTGAGCGTAAGCCCAGCTTGTCCAGAGGGTCAGGACAGGAGTTGTAATAAACATATGTTATTCTAAGCCAGTGTGCAAGACTGGCCTGTGCCAGGTAGTAGACAGATGTGTTCCTGTGCTCAAAGCAGCTGGAGAGCAAATTACTTTACACTTTATCTCCAAACTTTGTTTCCAGGGACATGAAAGATCTTGTGTGTTAGTGTTTCTTACCTAAGGAATAGCCAGATTTAATCTCTGATCCTATAAATATGAACCCCTTGAAGGCTTCATTGATCCCGCCCCAACACACACATTAAGATGAGTTAGTCAATATAAGATGCTTCCTTACCTGACAGCCACATTCATCTTACTACTTCCGAATTATCCGTATCTGGCAACTTGACGGGCATTTTTTTCAAGTACAGCTGTCAACAGAAACAGCATCAAATGTAATGTACAGAGAGGAAGTAAATGGGTAAAACAGGGATTTAAGAAAGGCCCTGAAGAGCTAGTTTGGCCACAAGCTGTCAAAGTAGCCATGAAGTTGAAATCTCCTGGGGCACTTTGTTTCTGACACCACCTAGCTTTCAAAAATTTTGTCTGAAGTGTGTTGGTTTTATGATTGCTAGAGAGTCTTTTCACCTGCCTAGATGAATTGTAATAGAGTACAAACTCATTTGAATAAGGCCCAGGGCCAACTTAAGAGTGTCACTTGCTTTTCTGGTGTGCCTCCCTTTAAGAAATTCTACTACCCTGGGTGGTTCCATATCCTATTTCATAGACGTTCTCCTGGGGTGTTGTTTTTAAAACAAATTATGCTTCCCTTGGACTTGTTCCTTGCAATTTAAGGAATTCTATATAACCTTACTGCTCAAAAGTGTGAGTTCTTGGACCTTCAGAGCTCTTACAGAGGCAAACCCTTAGTGCAAATCTGCATTTTAGCAAGATCCCCAGATGATCCAATGATTCATATACAAGTGAGAGTTTGGAAGGCACTGCTGTAGTTAATCTGAAATCTGCCCCCTCCTTTTTTTGTGTGTGGATTTGGGATTTCATATTTTGGGTTGTTATGGGTATATAAAAATCAGAATCCCCTGATCCGAAATCTTGAAACCCTTTTTTTGTTGTTGTTACTTCTGTCTGGCCACTTGTAAAACTAATCACAATTATTACTTGGATTTCCGACCCTTGAAATATGACAGAGGAAGATTTCAGTGCCCAGGCCCTGGCACAGATGTGTCGATGGATTGCCGACACGATTTCTACACTCTAGGATGGATATGTGATATTTATCACAGTGAATACTCATAGCCACCTTATGTGTAGTAGATTCTTTCACAGACCCAGTGTTGGCCAGGATAGGACCCTGGCTCTTTGAGATCCAAGCCTGACGTCTTTCCCTCTGCCACTGGACGGTATCACTGTGCCTTGTATGCAGTAGGCCCAAGGAGGATTTTGGAGCTGTTGGCTGTAAATGCTTGTCTGGGACGCTGCAGGCCAGTCAGACTGGTGTGATTGTCTCCTTTCCTAGTCATCCGACCCGCATTTAGTCTCTTTGCTTGGGGCCCCCAGCTTTGCTGCCACTTACCAGTCTCTACTGAAGTATATAGAGAACCCAGGACCAGGGGCCTCACAGCTGGGGCTCTAGGCCTGCTTGGGAGGCCAGTGTGCTGAGGTTTGCCCTACTGCTAGGTGTCCGAGGTGGGAAGCCACAGAGCTGCCTTCTAGCTCGGCACCCTGTTGTGTTCTCTGCTTGGGTGGTGAGCACTGCACGGGGAAAGTGTTAATAGGTAAAAGGGAGTGTAAATTTATACAGTATGTTTTAAGGCTTTCTTTTGCTTTAAAAATTTCGTCTCAGGCAGCAGCTGGCAGCAGTCCTGAGTGACTCCACTTCCTAGCGCTTCTCAATTGCAGCGGCCGCCCTGAAGCTGAGTGGAGCCCAGGTGAACAGATGTGCACCGCTGGCCTGTTGGGAAGGGTGCACGGGGACCTGGGGGTTAATTTAAAACAGCGTGAGGGTTTTGCTTCTTAGAACAGCTACGTTAGCCTTGTGCCTTGTGGAGACTTTAGTCTTAAATGGAAAGAGGGCATGTGGTACAGAAGAGCTCCAGGTCCTGGATTCGAATCCTGGTGGCCTTGCACAACCATGAGCTCGTAAATCAGCCTTTCTGGGTCTGTTTCCTCTGGAGAGACTTGGCCTGGGTCTTGGGCCCTTTCAAGTGCAAACTGCGCCTGCATTTACTATTGAGGGCTGACTGTGTGTGGGCATGTGATGAACGCCTTATGTCATATGTATGTATATGTGTTTAGAGTCACCTGGGGATCTCCAGAAAAGGCAGATTCTGGTCTGCAGGTTGGGGGGCTCGGTTCTGCATTTCTAAACAACTCCCTGGGAGGCAAATGGGCCTCACTTTGAGGCAGGAGGCTTCACTGGGGCTAGGATTGTTGTACTTTTAGGCTGAGGACACCAGGGCTCAGAGAGGTTAAGTAATCTCCTCAAGGTCAGTCATCCACTGGGGCAGAGCTCAGGCTCACACTCGACTGCTTTGGAGCGTCTAACCAGCCCTCCCTCTGCAGTGTCCCTCCTGGGGTGGGGCCTGGACCGGTGCTGAGTCTCTTGTCTCTCATTTACTGAAAAGAAAAACATAAGCCAAATAGGGAATCTCCAACCAGAGTAAGGGAGGGGGACAGACTTTCTCCCAACTTTGTCACCTTCCTGCTTAGTGACTTCAGGCAAGTCACCACACTGTTCCAACTGTATGCCACTTGACCCTTCTGGATTTTAGACGTCTGGAAGAAACTTTGATCTCCTCCGCAGTAAGCAAACCCAAGTTATTGTTGAGCCATCTTTCCGGCAACATGCACTATGGAAGCCAAAGCCGCAGTCCCAGGCCGGCTGGGCCCTGGACAGGATGCTCACTCAGGACTCCTGCCAGAGCCTGGGGCAAGTGGCCCGAGCTTCACCCTCTGTTCTCCTTACAGTCACAGAGTTGTCCTGTCGTGGGGGAACTCAGAAGGGAAATGCTCTGCACCGTGTCCCCATGGCTGACCCAGGGAACCCTGCCTGCCTGGACTTTTTCCCCTGGAAGGAGCATTGTTAGGTAGGGAGAGGGCCAAGGGCAAGTGGCCTTTGAACACACTGGGAAGGAGCAGTAGGTGAGGCCGAGTGAGGTGACGCAATGTAGATAGGGATGCCAAATTAGGGCCCTGCCGCCCTGGGCTCTGGGCCTGCCCCTGCCCAGCCGGGAACGCTGCGCAGGTCGCTCCCCCGCCCAACATCCCCCCTGCCCCAGTTTCCTTGTAGGATGAAAGCACTGGGACTGATGACTACTGTGTTCTTCCAGGATGAGTGCCCCAAGCGTCCTCGCCCTGTGACCTGCGGGGGCCAGGCAGTTAGCCTGGGGACCAGTGGATGACTTAACCTGCATCTCAAATGCAGAGGCGGCCTGAGTTTGCCCCGTGTGGCTCCATTTGGCAGGATGTGCACTCCTGAGTGACGGAGGGGGTTTCCCTGGGAGTGAGAGAGAACTTTTCTATAAA